ATAATTATTATTATTTTTTTATTATTTTTTACTAAACTTATTTTACAAAATACAAATATTAAATAAGAAATATTTCATTGCAAAATAAAAAAGGAGTAGTTTAAGAAAAATTATATAGCATTTCAAACGTTAAAAATTATATAGCATTTCAAACGTTAAACCATCAAGCTTTTATTTTGGCAGAAAACTGCAGGGAGACCATAAAGATTCTCTTTTGTTGATAACAGCCAGTTTATAAGCATTTCTCATTACAAGTTTGATGGTTGCTGCATGTTGTGTTCCCAAATGCACGTTAAAAGTGATCTAATTGCTGTGAACCAAGCCGCTCCAAGATCTCCAAATCTCCATATTGAGATTTTGGTTTCTAGCGATTAATTGTGCAGCCCTAATTATGACTTTGACTGCAATGTGTGCCTTCATGAAGTGACCAGTTATATAAACTTTCGCTTAGTCTGAGTCCTCCAGGAAGCTGTCAGAGATCAAAGACCTGCATGACAAAATCAGACAGTCTGCTGAGGAGGCCAAAAAGAAGGAAAGTCTGCATAAGCAGCTGGTACGTAAGGTTTTCGTTTTTTTCATCCCTTCCCTCTCCTTTCAGTCATCCAAGAAATGCATTTAGCACTTACACCATGTCCTAACCAGTCACACCACACAAAAACAAGTGTTCAATGCCATCTGTTCCAAGTAAATTAGTTTTTGTCCTTATCAGCCATCATAGGACATATGATCTTCTGGTTTCCATGTCTGTTACATCTGGCTCTGTAACCCCACCCCCTTTGGAATCTCAAATTCCCACTTCACATAAATTCATATTAAACAAAAATATATATTCTGATTGGTTGTGATTGTCTCGTTTTGTGCAGACAAATGGTTGCATGGTTAGGATGTGGTCTAAGAAAGCATTTAAATGTTATGTCTGTCTTATAATATTTATTGTTTGTTGGTTTAACATTCAATGTGTTTGTTTACTCTCCTTCCTAATGTTCTGCAGCAAACTGAGTATGAAACACTATCTAAAGATGTGTCTCGCTCAGCCTACACCATGAGGATCTTGGAGATTGTAGGCAACATAAAGAAACAGAAGGAGGAAATCACTAAGGTCTTTGTTTGTGATTATCCTTTATCTAGCCCTCAATAAAATACTTCATCTGAGTTCAGGACCTGTGTCCACAGACATAAGCATTGTGTTTGAAGTTGGCAGGTCTTCAGAACCCTTTTGACCTCTGACCTTATTAATCGACCCCCTGCAGATTTTGTCCGACACAAAGGAGTTGCAGAAAGAGATTAACAGCCTGACAGGAAAACTGGACCGAACATTTGCAGTCACAGATGAACTGGTGTTTAAGGTCTGTCTCATATCTAGTGGGGTCCAAAAGTGTTTTTTTTGTTTTGTTTTTTTTTTAGATTTTTGAAAGAAGTCTCACCAAGGCTGCATTTATTTGATCAAAAATACAGTAAAACAGTACTTTAATTAAATTTTATTACAATTTATAATAACTGATATATATTTTAAAATGTATTTTATTCCTGAGATGGCAAAGCTGATCCTTTACATGATCCTTTATCATTCTGATTTTCTGATTTGACATTTCACTTATTATCAGTGTTGAGAACAGTTGTGCTGCTTAATATTTTTGTGGAAAGGTGATTTTTTTTTTTAGGGGTCTTTGAATAGAAAGTGCAGAAGTACAGCATTTACTTGAAATAGAACTCTTAATCAATTTAAAGGGGTCATTAACTGCCTTTTTTATTATTTTGTACTGTTCTCTGAGGTCCACTTATAATGTTATCAAGATTTTTTACATCAAAAAACATAATCATTTAGAAGTAATAGGCTATTTTCTGTCCTGTTTTGACCCCCCCTCATCGGAACGCTCTGTTTGAATAAGCGTGGCGGATTGTAGACTTGGAATTAAACACCCACTGCTATGATTGGCTAACAGTTGTCTATGTTTGACAGCTACATCCTTCACAGATGAACGCTGCTGTGATTTAGGTTAAAAACGCATAAATACTCAGAACATATCAAATGATCTGTAATAGCAGACAAAACAATAGTGACTTCAAGAAGTTAGGAGCACCAACAAAAATTTAGGAGCACCCACTGAATATTAAGGAGCATCACAACTGCCAATAGAGCGGAAGGGCTGGCAACATCCTGATGATTAAAAGCTTCAACGATTGAACCTGATCCTGAATTCTTTGCCACACACTTGGCCCAGCATTTATTGTTAGTGATGCATTGATCTTTCATGGCCAATTCCGATTGCTAATGTTTTAGAAGCGAGTAAGCTGATTCTGATAGCCGACATATTTAACATATTTTTAGTTTTTAAAGCAAGAGATAAGAAAATATGATAACATGAACAAGATGTTTATCTGCTCTATTACAGTCTGTATCTGTAGCCATTTAAAATTGGAGACAACCACAGCATTTTAATCATGATTCAAGCAAAGATGCTGCATACATGAGCAGTTTCAGATGTAAATTAGAATGTATTATTTCAAAATCTGAAGCAAAAACAGAATGGTCTGACTTTAGCTTTGTAAAATTATGCTACATAAAACATCTACACGAAACAAAAACAGCAGACGGTCTGAATGAAAATGAAAATTCACTCTGACAGCAGGTGGTGCTTATGGAACAGCAGCAATATAGCGTTTCCTTGGTTACTGCTGTAAACAAAGCAGAGCTGCACTGCTTTGTTCTTTATATTTGCAATATACAGAGGCAAGATGAGAAGAAAATTTAATTTCAACTTTTCTCAAGACAGTCAGTTCCCCTCAGAAATACATTCATTTAAACCCCCACTACCAATTCAATATTTCGGATTTTCTTTCTATATTTCGCGCATAGTGAGCTTGTTCTGCCTGCTACAGTATTTTCTTTTCGTTGCGTCCATCTTCAGCGTCTCTGGCCTCCGTTAATGGTTGTTTACAGACTTCGTGATATTTCCACACAAATGACATTTTGGAAAATGATTTCAATGCAGTTTGTGCAAGTCCAGAACACAGATTAGATGAAAACCGTTTGGAGTAAAAACTGGTCGGTTCCGAGTTCAGAGCTGAGTTAGTTTGGGCAGGAGGAGGTTTGGGATGATAGTGTTCGCTTCCTGTCACAATGGAGTGCAGCGAAAGGGAGTAACTTTGGATAGGATGGTGGACCGGTCACTGTTACGGCTCACAGCAGGCACAAACTGTGTATTAATTCGCAAATGTTTTGCAGAGAAATGAAGACGGGTCGCACCACGACGGCCGCGTTTTTTCAGATGTATTTCCAAGAAAAAAATATCGTCTTATATTCGGGACAATACGGTATGTGCACTCGCACAAATACTCCCAAATATATTTTGGGGTCGCACAGATTACATTTCGGGGGCATATGCGACCAAAACGGTCGCAATTTCAAGCCCTGTCACACTTGTGTGGTGTGACATTACTCTCTGATCCAATATTTTCAGCACAGCATCGACTTTTAGTCTCAATCTTTCTGAAAATCCTGCATCAAATTGTGCCTTGTTTGTAAACAAATCCGCGGTAAAATGAAGTGAACAAAGGGCCAAGTTCTTACTGAAGCAGTCTGGATCTTCATTAAAAATAAAGTTCATCCATTCTTTCCTAATGTTGGGATCAGAAAGAAGGCAATGCAAAGAGCATCTTTATTGGTTTCTGCATAGACCTGCATTTCTCGTTATTCATCTACTATGTGCCGAATCAGTGGGCGGGGCTAAACAGGCAGTGATGTAGAAGCAGGCGTTGATCATCTTCTGTGGAGGCGGGGTTTAGCCGCACTATCACGTCATAAAGTGGCACATTCCACAAGCTGTCATTTTGGCAGATTGGCTTCAATATAAGCTGTTTTTAGACTGAGAAAGTTTTGAGTTCTGAATCTTACAGGATGTTTTATAGTACAATGACCTCTTATATGTCAAAAGATCAAGATCATTTTGATTTCATGACCCCTTTAATGCAGTCCTGCTGCTGAATAAAAGTATTTATTTTTATTAAACCTGATTCCAAATGTTTGAAAAGTAGTGTATATAAAAAAATATGATAGATATATTTGCATTTCTTCATTTTACATTGCAATCATAATTTTTTTTTTCTATGTGATCTCAGACCCTCTTAGAGAAAGTGTCATTTTCATTGTTTTGTAATAGTAATTCAATATTAAACAACTGAATTCTTTCAAACTTCAGGATGCCAAGAAAGATGAATCTGTCCGCAAATCCTACAAGTACTTGGCTGCCTTACATGAGGTATGTGTCTGCATATCATTAAGTTGATCTACAAATAAATGTGATAATATATATTTTGATGTCGTCACTGGTCTTGATTATTTTAGAAATTGGGTATTGCAGTCCTAAAATGCAGGTGCTGTGTTGGAAAAACATTTTTGTCTCATGTGACAAGACAAGCAAAAGGCAAGCTGCTTGTGAACCTGCAAAAAATATTTTAGACAAAAATGGCACACGATGTGGTGGCTTGTGCTCCTTTTGCTCAGGCCATTAGCAGTGCTTTAGTCCATCTGTATAACCTTTGAACTACACAACTGATCTTAGAGCTAATGCCCTTGCTGACTTCAACGGGATTCTGGCTATTTTGTCCTGCAAGAGAATTATCATTTTAATCATTCTAGAATTTTTGTGCTTTCAGAACTGCACTCAGCTGATTCAGACTATTGAGGACACAGGAACCATCATGAGAGAAATCCGAGATCTTGAGGAGCAGGTATGAAAAAAAAGTCAAGTTTAGATCTAAGCAAACATTTCATTGTAACTTTTCAACTGTCAACAGTTTATTTATTTATTTATTTTTTTTAGATTGAGACTGAAAATGGCAAAAGAACAGTTAGCAATCTAGAGAAGATCCTTGAAGACTACAAGGCCATTCGTCAGGAGAACTCAGCTCTTGCTGAGAAGATCCGGGAAGGTTGAACTGTTGCTCCGTCCATGTTTGATGGTACTGCAGAGTGAAAACCCGGCCTGCTGAAATGGGCGCTGCTGTGAGAGACGTCAGTTTGGCTCCCGTCTGTGTCAGCCCTCCATCCGAAATAATCCTCATCACATTAGGCAACTTTCAGCTTTTACTGAGGGTTTGAACACAAGAGTTTTTTTGCATCAAAATGGCACAAGTTTGAAGAAATGTTAGTTAAAACTAATTCTGATCATTGTGATGAGATTCTGTTTTTTAACAAAAAGCTTGGACTGCAATAATTTGAGAAGGACCAGTACCGGTGCTTCGGCTTGATAAAACAACAACTTTGTTATACGGCGATAACCATATTATGTACATGAAAGTGTCCGTTAACAGTGACCTTTGATTGTTGTAGTTCATATGGGTTGAGCTGCTCATGAACATTACAAAATTCAGTCAGTTTGATTGAGCTTGGATAATAGTAGGCTGATAACAAGTTAATACTCATGAACAGCTTCCCTGTTTCATATTAAAGCATAAATTTGATAACGTATCTGTTTGTTTGGCTCTGATGGATTCATAGAACTGCTCAACTACTCGTCATTGAAAGTTATATCGTCATTGAACCTCTATGATAAAAATGTACTCTTGTCAGACTGATTGTAGGAAAGCTGTGTAAACACGTTTAAGTGTCTGATTGACTAACACTGATGATTGTCCCAATCAAACAGGTTTTCATAAGTTTAATAGTTTATGCCTGTCTTTGGATTGTTTGATTTTAGAGATTATATCGAAAATAATGTTTTGTAATTTACCATGACTTGTATACATCTGCTCAATCTCTGAACAAGATGTTCTGATCTTTCACCATTTCTATCGGTTGTTATTGTCCTTTTTTTTTTTTTTTACTTAAAATGAGGTAAAGTTATTAGATGCTTTAACTTGTTGTTAAGGCACTTTTTTCGCCTTTGCTGTAACAATTGGAAATTTAGAGTAGGGCTGCACGATATGGGGAAAAGGTCTAATTGCGAATTTGTATTGAAAAGAATGTTTTTTTATCTGCTCAATCTCTGAACATGATGTTCTGATATTCCACCATTTTGCTACCAGTTACTGTCCTGAGGAAGTTATCAACTGATTAAATCTCACAAAAACATTTACCACTCCAAGTTATTTTTTTTAAACAAATGTTTGATATAATTGTCACGAAAATATGGTCAGCTTAACAGGGGGAAATGGTCCTAATATGAACTAAATGGAAAAGAAAAGGTACTGAAAACAGGCCAGGTCCGTGTACGTTGCGTTCACTCGTTTTATTTATATATATATATATATATATATATTGAAAACGGTAACATGAGAAAACGGCACCTTTTTTAATTTTCGTTTTATCAAAAAAAAGAAAAGGAAATAAAAATTGCTTTGATTTTTCGTTTTTACATTCAGGGGTATACATTTATGGATAAACAGCTTGAATGTTCGATTTCCTCGTGTGGGGGGAATGGAATGCCCCTTTCTGCTGATTGGTCATGCAAAGATCAAATGGTGCCGTCATCAGGTCTTCAGTTCCGCGCAGGCACGCAACAGAATAATAGTCCTCCTAAGAGTTAGTGTTTATTACAACTCCATTTCATCTTTCTCTCATCAAACAACCAGACTAACAAAAGGCTTGACACAAACTGTACTGGGGCAGTGCCTAGACAGAGCTTACTTACTGTGTAAGCATAGATTCTCTGGCAAATATTAAGCGTACGTTTCAGAAATATGAATGTACCTCACATCTACACCCACATTACCCCCATAGTCTACTTCTTTGGCACGCTGCACATTTTATTTTGCTGTCCAGTCATCAAAATCTGTGTGGCAAAGATGCGTGACGCACTGGACCGCGCGGAGTGAATGCATTTACATTATAGTGAAGCGCAGACCAATATGGATTCTAGTGTAAATATGCAGCAGTCTATTGTTTTGATTATTACTTTGAGTTTTTTTTTTTTAAGAAAAGTTCATACAAATGCATCAAATGTCATTATCCGACTGGCATGTTACACATGTAGGCCTAATATAATATATGCTTTTTGTTCTTCAGTGGTTGTTTCAGTGTTGTTGTTTCAATTATTGAATTCATTGGCATGAGTAATTTGACGCCATGGTTTAATAAAAAGGGTAAACTGGTTTGAGATGCCAATTTGCAATGCCACTTGCAAAGAAAACGAATATACCCAGGGTATGACTTAGGTGGCTGGGGCCTGGGTTTGAGTCATTGTTTGGGCCTTACCTACTCTACATGACCTCAACTAGAACAACATATATCATTATATGAAGTACCGTACATTGACATAAACTACACAAAAAGTGAGGCTGAGGTTCCTAAATATTATTATTTGTATAAAAAAAATTTTTTTTTTCTGATTTATTTTTTTCTAACTTTATTAAATATGTTGGCCATCTTTAATGTTAAATTCCTAAATTTAGTCCATATTAGAAAAATATGACATTATAGGTGTTACCAATTAAAACAGTATCAACCAAAGCCATCTTTGCACTGAAAGCTGAATCTTAAGTTGATTTTAGATGTATCTAGACAGTTAATGCTGGTCAAAGGGCAGTAAATGCATTTATGCAGCAATTACAATTGCATAATGTAATGCGAATAAATTAAAAACATTCTGAATACAGAAATATGAAATGAATGACAAAATGGAACGATAGGATACCGCCAGTAGGTGGCGGCAAATCAATACAATTCTGTTTATGAATGAGTCATTGGCTGCGTTTACACTTGGCATTAATATGCGACCTGTATCCGGATGTTGTCCACATACACATTGAAAAGACAAGTGTAAACGCGCTTCTGATCGGAATGTTATCCGATCAGCGTGTCCTGGTCCAGAGGTAGTCGAGGACGCATTGTGATCGGATCTCAGTGTAATGTAAATGCAATCCAGCCATCGTGTCTGCATTTGCAGGTCGACATCACGCAAAACGCCGCCCCATCTCTCCCGATCTGTCGGAAGAACAGAGCGCTAGTGAGACTCGTACATTTATTTTGACTTGTAAAATGTCCCGCGACTGAATATAGTTTTCGAATCAAAAGAAAACCCACCACTTCAGGTCGACTCTGCACCGCAGACTTATTTAAATATTGCGCGGGAAATACAGATCCGATCGGTTACCCAGATCGTGAAGTCAGTTGATGTTGCCAAGTGTAAAGGTGCCGTGTCCTGATTGACTGATGATCCGATCTGCTTCATGAAGTGTAAACGCAGCCATTGTGTCATCCATTCAACCATGGGTCATTGAACCATTCATTTAAACGATACATTAAAAAACTCGGATTCATTCAGGAACGAAACACAATGCTGTGCGTTTTGTGTCTAAAATGAAATCAACGTATACTCATTATTAATGAAATAAACCCAGAGTACTGTCTAAAATAATTAGTTACCTATGACTGCTGCATATTTACACTAAAATCGATACTGGTCTGCGCTATAATGTAAATGCATTCGCTCCGCGCAGTCCAGTGCGTCACGCAGCTTTGCCACCGTTTGCCACACAGATTTTTTGATGACAGCTAAATAAAATGTGCAACTTGGGCTCTTTACATTTATGTTCTTCTTTCCGTTTATGTTCACCGTATCAATGCATTGATTGACACTGTCTGCTCACAGTTATCAGTGCAATAATATAAGTGCTGTATTCGTCAAACATTCCCCCTCATTGGAGAAAAATCACGTTCAACACGAAGGCGTGTGACGCTGTAATCCAAGCGATGAAAGTAGTAGACAAGGTAAAAAAAATGTACAATGTTTTTTTTTTTTTTACTATAGTGTTTTGTATAATATAATAAAAACAAGTAGGCCTATACTAATACTAACAGTATAGTTTGGTTCGAATATACTGGTATTTTATTAGGCTATAAATATGTGGCTATGTTACAGCTCTTGTCTTTTTTTTCCTTTTCAATCTCTCCAATCCTATTCTCACAGCTGATTGGAAATGAGTGCGTATCTCCCGCTTTGTTGTAGTTTGCTGATTTTTGTAAAATAAACTGCTGTTTTTGCTTTTTAAATAAAAAGAAAGTTTTTTCAGTTTAATGTGTTGCAGGCTCATTTATTGGTAATAAATAATTTATTATAAATAATATTGATGATAATAAATAATTGTTTTTGAAGCTGCGGTTGAAGGATCCAGTTTCTACATAGTTTCATGAGGATTTTCCTGGGACATTGACAAAACACGCTTCTGTTGCCTCTGCCCACACCCTGTTCCACACATATTCAAATGAATGCTGTATGAATGTCAATACATGCAGCTGTAAACAAACGGTTACTTCGACATGCATGGCCATAAAGTGACAACATGTTAGCTATTCTACACTCCTTATTTTATGTCTCTTAGCTGATTAGCCTAGTAAATCCATTTAGACTACTTGTGAATGTGTGTAAAACGTGACTTTACTCTTGTTACTGCGCCTAAAATCGACTCGCTGGAAAAAAAGTGTGCATTCCGGAAGGGTCTCATAAATAAAAATCAATTTTGCCTGTCAGTTAGGATAAGATAGTAACATAAATCGAACATATGATCAAAAGCGGTAAACTAATGACATAAGCCTTTTTGTTACTGCACTGAACCGCAGTTGTTCCAGCGCATTTGGTCAGCACTCGTGAAGTCTGGTGAAACGCCAAGCGTAGAACAACACCATAAACGCTTCAAAAAATCGTATGTTTTTTAAGTAGAACCAGCTGCTTCTATGGTCACATCTTGTACATACATGCCTATGTCTCTAGGAACAAAAAGTTAAGTATGGTAAGCATATTCAGTCACGTAGCACATGTAGGCAGTTGCCAGGTCGTCTGACCAATCATAAGGCATGAAATATTGCAAAATTTTCAACAAGGAAATGTATTGGTGGGTCTAGCATGTAAACACGTTTTCCTCCTGAACCAAACCCCTATATAAGCAACGCAGCAGAATCCACGTCTTATTGGTTTAACCAACTGTCAATCAATACAAGTCTGGTATATGATTGGTTAATATAACAGCCTGCGCCCGACCAGCGATGCCCTCAGCGAAGCTGTATCAGTTACCACAGAAGCGATCCTACTGAACACGTGGGGCAAGCACGAATGAAAGAAGTAAACAACTTTGTTAGTATAGTTTAGACATGGCTTGCAAAAAATTAGGCAGTGTAAGTAACGCAATGTGGCAAAGAAGCTCCAGTTGTACAGTTTCGTTGTGCGCAGGATTGAATATTCCTGCTTTTGCTTGTGGAAGCTTCGCCTCGGCTGGTTCAACAATGAACGGACAGAACTGCTGCAAAGATAGACACAACTGTGGACCGACGAAAAATTTACCAGTTAATCATAACCCTGTTGCAGCCGCAGTCACATCGCACAGACATCAGATCGTGGGCAAAAATAGAGGCGAAGAATCTCTTGCCAAATCTGGCAGGGCATTCTCATCCACGGCCCCGCAGATTAACAATAAAACGTACTTGTGGGCGAGATACAATGAGATGAAACGGCTCGTGCACGGTATGTTTATTTATTTTCAGTTCTCAAATGTGATGTTCTGTAATCTCTGGACTCGTGGCAAAACTTATTTTTCCACTTTTCCTCCGTTCCAAAGAGGCGCTGGCCTCTGGACATTTTGTAAACAACAACTGCCATTCATATGTCCAGTGCATGATCGACATTTTATGTTCACAACTATTTCTTGTGTAAGAGACGTGGTTTTTCTTAATTGCCTTGTTTATGCACAGAAGAAAACGTATTTTAATGTAATAATAAACTTCAAATCTCTGCCTCACAGATTTGATTCCTCCTGGGGTGTGCAATCTTTTGAACCCTTCCACCATCTATGCCAACAATGAGGTGAATCTGGAAGAAGTGGACATCTACGGCTTTGACTATGATTACACGCTCGCGCTCTATTCCAGCGCGCTGGACGAGATGATATACAACAAGGCGCGAGAGTTTCTCATTCAGCACTACAAGGTCCGAGAAAAACATTCAACTTAATGCCATATAAACCTGTTGATTTGCATATTTCATTGCTATTAAACCAAATAATTATAAATACCAAGCGTCATTATGAGGTAAAACGCATAGCCAAAAAATAAACACTTACGGTCCAATCACAGAATTTTTGCTAA